GGCGGGAGCCTGGCGGCCATGGGCGGCCGCGAACACCAGTACAGTTCTCTGTCCGCGGCGCGGCCGCTGAACGGGACGTACCACCATCACCACCACCACCATCCGAGCCCCTACTCACCCTACGTGGGTCCGCCGCTGACGCCCGCCTGGCCCGCAGGACCCTTCGAGACTCCGGTGCTGCACAGCCGCGCCGGAGCCCCGCTGCCCATGCCGCGGGGCCCCAGCGCAGGTAAGGGTCGTGTCGCGGCGTGAAAGTGGGATCCGAGGCACTGGGGCTGCAGGGGCTGTGAGGTAGCTATTTACTTCAGGCCTGTTTTCAGGGCTTTCCTTATTGGGTGCACAGGGGTTGGCCTGGCTGCGGGAATGGTTTGTAGGCCTGCGGCAGGGCGACCGGAGACTGGTAGCGGTGATGGGGTGAGTCTATTTTACGAACTGTTTCAGTTCTTTTCAAGTTTACCTTAGTGCCTTGGAGAAGGAAGCTGCGGGGACTTGAGGAATGGTAAATGGGTGGGCAGTTGGGAAAAAATGAGGCAGAAAGGGAACTGACAGGGTTTGAGTCCCCTCCGCCCTCGCCCCAGGCCTTAGTTTGGGTGTCAGTGGATGAGTCCCCTTGGGAGGGTAGTTTAGGGGAGCGTTGGACACTTGATTCACCCTCTCCCCAAATACACATGCTTGCACACGCGGTCTCACCCAATTTAACTCTCAAACGGTGAGTTGTGTGTTTTACTCCAGAAGGGTATTTGAAGAAAAGGACCTAGGGACAGAAAAGATGAGAGGACTCCTAGATGGGCCAGCTTTAATTTAAGACTTCATCCCAAGGGAAAACTGGTGGATAGGACCTGTGCCTGATGCCAGACAAGACCAGGAGTCTGGGCCTGCCTGCCCCTACCTGCCCCTCCTCTGGCGGCCAAGCTGGGACCCAGGGATCCTGGAGTTCAGGGCATTTTTTCCACCATAGAGTTTAGTCCACCAATTTTTCCTTTTTCAATTCCACTTGTGCTCTCATTCCCGAGTGGGAGGGGGAGCATTTGGAGTAAACTGGGGAAACAACAACCTTCAAAATACCTGGAAATACATCATTTTGAAAGTGTTTTGTTTTGCTCAAGCACGGGAGGGTGTGAGCTGTGCTTTCTAGCCTGTCAAAAAGGGCAGCTTGGCTTCTTTGCACAGTTACAGCATTCTGTGAGTCCTTGGTGTTCTTACAGGTCTCTAATTTTATACTTCATCTGTTTGATTCTCTGAGGGGAAACACAACTTTCTCTGTTTGAGGGGAGCTGTGAGGAGCCCCTGTAGTTACAGAGATGACAAGGAAAAGGGAGGCATTTTAGCTCAGGTTTCCTACCCAGTGCCCTTGTAACCCAGGCTTGGGCTTCATGTAGGAGCCCCAGTGCTCCCTTTGGGGACCCTGATTAGTTAGGGTAAAGTGGGGTGTTGCTAACCTTGGGTTCAGAAGACATACTGGAAACCCGAGTAACCTGAGAGTCAAGAAACTGTATAGCCCTCAGTTACTCACATTGGGAGGGGGCCAACAGGCTTCTTAGTAACTAGCCCTTCCTTTCTTCCTCCAAGGGCTTTAAAGACTTTACTCCCTCTTTTTTCCTTCCCCAGCAATCTGTGTGTGGAGTGGGGTACCCTGTTAAGATTTGCCCTGTTGAGTTTAGACCTGAGAGAGCAGAGGGCTATCAACCCTTCCTGCTTCATAAGGACCCATGTCTGGCTCCCAGGAGCAGAGAGGCAAGGAGATGAGAGACCTTCAAAGAACCGGAAGCGGGTGGTCTGTATGAGGCTTCTTTTATTCGTCAGGGAGTACAGCAGTGAATCTGAAGGGTGTGTGAGTTGGGTAGGGGGCAGATGCTGTTTGAGCAGGACCCTGAAGCTCAGCCCATTTCTTGACACACCTTAGACTGATCTCTATAGTCGTTTTCCCTAGTCTTCCAGCATTTCACATGACTGAGAAACAGGGGTAGTCCAAAAGACAGAATCAGAGTCTGCTGGTGTTTAAAGTAACTGATACTATATGGAAAATCCTTTTAGAGATAATATGGTTCAGTTGCAGGCAAGTTTTAAGTTTCTTTTTGTTTTGAACTTAGCCTGTCTCTTCACTAGCTTTCTCACCTTTTGGACGGGACACTGCAAAATTAGAAAAATAGTCTGTAGACCAAGAGTACGTTTTTTATTTTTGTTTTTTTTAAAAAAGGGGGGTGGGAGGGTTTTGGGAGCCCTCGGCTTTTGCATAAAGGGTCTGTTAAGAAAATAAGAAGCTACAAGGGCCAAGCTAGTCTTCTTTTGGGAGGGGAGCAAATTACCCGAACTTTGCCTGTCATCCCAGGTGCTCTGTCACATGCTAAGAGAGACCTTGGTCCCCCGTCTCCCCTTCCCCTGGCTTCCTAGCTAGATTCTCTGTTTCTCCACTTTGATTTTTTTTTTTTTTTAAACAGTCATTTTTGGAGGCAGACTCTTAATTGATTTGAGCAAACACCAGAGCTAAAACCTGAGCACCGGGCTTTCTCGGCCGGCACGGTGTGGAGGCCTCTGGGAGACCCGCCCCATACACCTTTCCCTGACCCTGGTGGTGGGGGGTGTTCTGGGTGAGCTCAGCCCTCAGTCCTCAGGCCCAGCACCCTCCTAAGATGCTACTGTGGGTCCTGGGACAACACACGAGCTATGCCTTTTCCCAAGTCCGTCACTCTCTCGGAGCACCTAAAACAGCCATGTTAGGAGACAGATGATGTTGAATAAGGAAAAATTAGTGAATAAACTCCCAGCACAATCAGATTTTGTAATTTTTGTAAAAAAACAGGGTTCCCCCTCCCCATTTTAGTGAGAGTTAGTGAGAGATAAAGGATTGTAGTGATAAATTTATTTAATTAAAAATAAACACCCTAGATTTTACTTCTCAAAAAAAAAAAAAAAAACTTTAAATTTTGTCTTTGAGTTTTCAGATGACTTAATAGTTCTACTTGGAGAGTTTGTGCCGTCTTCTCGTGGGAGTCTTTATTGTTTCCAGCACAGGGCAAGGGGGCCAGGCACAGGGCTGAGTTTTCCAGGGAATGCCCCACTATGTCGAGAGGGGCTCTGATAGGTAACATTTTAAAGTCAACAACAAAGACAAATACCTTGTTTAACTTCAGTGTCCTTGAAGTCCTGAGCATTTTACTGATTGCCCTAGTCAATAGTGGCTTTTAGGGCAGAGAAGAATAAATCTTTGTGATGTGTTGTAAGTTGCAGTATCCCCGTGACAACTTTGAACTCGAGTTGTGTAGGATGCTAGTTCCTTTTAAACTAGGAGGGAGACTTGTTTTGTAGGGTAAATAGTACTAATGGAATTAAAGAGTATTTATGCTAAAGTCACATTTAAATATTTTTACAACAAAAGGTTGATGGTAGACACAAACTAAAGGGCAGGAGAATGGGAGGGGATAGAAGGGCTCATTAGCACCCATAATCCTCAAAGAAAACTTTTCTAAAGTGTAATGTTTACTTACTTTAAGAAGTGAATCAGAAATTCTCTTTAAAGAATGCTAATTTGAAACATTTAAACCATATATAATATAAAGAAGCCCAAATAGTAGAAGGAGACGTTTACAAAAAAAAGTCTACATTTAATTAACAACCACCTCTCTCATTTAGATAATTATTTGTCCATATTTAAGCTACTTGAGGAGAAGTAATGAATATTACAACCATTTTTCTTTTTAAAAAGCTGTTTAGGATTAGTTGTGAATTGTGAAAACTAACCAAATAATAATAAAATGATATAAAATAAACATATTTTAAATAGATTGCATAAGCTGAAATTTTAGTGTACGAAAATAGGAAACAGTTTTATTTAGCACTGGGAAGGTCTTAGTAATTTTCTCAGTCTAGAAAGTATACTTCATAGATTGAGATGTAGAAATTTTGCAGATAGGAGCAATTAGGCATGAGCATAAAACAACATTAATCTGGGTCCTTAACACTGTTAGTGCTTCCCCCCCCCCAGGAGGCCTGAGTAATATTCTAATCAATTGACATAAGTGCTCAAGTCCAGTATTTCCAATTTCATGTGTCTTTTTTTGTTTTTTTAAATTGGGTAAAAGGCTTGTAAGGAAGAGTAGCAGATACAGAAAATGCTTTAAAGAATTATCTGAGATGAAAGTAAGTAAGTCAGCAGCCCTGTATCCCCGGGTGTTTGTGGGTTGGAGAGAGACTCAATGGTCAGTGTTGTATGGCTTGTTCAGATTTGGCAAGTGGCACATTGCAATTATGATGGATTTCAGTTTTGAAAAGCTTGGAAACAACCAGAGACAAGGGGTCAGGGGAGCCCAAACCAACTTCCTCACAGAGAGGAGGCAGATGATTTCGAGCTCTGCTTCCTGCACTATTTTCTGGGGTCACTACTGCGCTCACCCAGGGGGTGCAGAAGTATCGAGCAAATAAATGATCAACTGATCAATGGCAAGGAAATCAAAGGTCCGGAAAGGCGGGTCGGGGAGCCGCGGGCGGCCAGTCTCCACAATGCAGCTCTTGGGGGCTTCAGGGGTGACGGCCGCTCTGGGCGTGCCATGAGGAGGGGGCGGGCGTGGCGCGCCTGACCCCGGCCTCTCTCCACTCTCGCCGCAGACCTGCTGGAGGACCTGCCCGAGAGTCGGGAGTGCGTGAACTGCGGCTCCATCCAGACGCCCCTGTGGCGGCGGGACGGCACCGGGCACTACCTGTGCAACGCCTGCGGCCTCTACAGCAAGATGAACGGCCTCAGCCGGCCCCTCATCAAGCAACCGAAACGCGCGGTGAGTGAGACCGTCGCCCCGCCCTCCCCACCGGCCGGGCCCGGGGCCGCGCCCCTCCCGTGGGGTCGCCGCTCG